ACATGTTCTGTGAGGTCACACTGACCTTTGACCTTCTTCAGAGCAGATATTTGTATCAAATTTGAGGAAATTCCCTCGCGGCATTCTTGACATATTGCGTTCATGAGAATGGGACATATCGGACATACAGCCTCCAGCCAGCTGACATCTTATTTAGGTTTTTGTAGTGAAATGAAGTTTTGTGAAGATAATTCCTCATTTTGATTCATGAATCAGCCGCTCAGTCTCAACCGCAGCAAGTCCCCGTCCGGACCAAATATGGAGCGTGGACTGGTGGCTGGAGAGGTGCCAGTTCACCTCCTGGGCACTGCCGAGGTGCCCCTGAGCAAGGAACGGGGCGCCTCACCAAGGGCAGCCCCCTCACTCTGACATCTGTCCACTTCGTGCATGTATAGGTCCTCTTTATGCGTGTGTGTTTGGACCTGTGTGTTAATGACAACAAGAGTGAAAACATTGAATTTCCCCTCAGGGGGATTAATAAAGTATATAAAAAAATGAAGGAAAAAAAAAAAAAAACAGCGTCTGAATCAAGTTCAGCTCAAACTGGCGCCTGCAGTCAGTCTCTCATCAGCTACAATCCAAACTGTTGCCACCGTGGAGCGGTTTTGGTTTTCTTCAGAGACTAACTCTGTCATGTCTCCTCTCGTCATCCCAAAAAACACATGAACTTTCTAGTAAACAAACACAACACACGCCGCTCTGCTCCCTCCACCTCAATGAAATTTGGGCCAAATTTCAAGGGTTTGAAATCCTCACCTAGGAAATGGGACGCCACTCGTCGACAGTAGCCATCAACGCAAAATACACAAGTTAGTATTTAGCTAAAAGTAACTGATAAGTGGTTGAAATAGCATTAGCTAGCTAAAGAAATGGATAACTCTTAAAACCAGTTAGCTACAAGTAAAGTAACATTGACATAGCATTAGTTAGCTAACATTGATGAATAAACAGCTAAAACAGTTAGCTAAAAGTAACTGATAAGCGGCTGAAATAGCATTAGCTAGCAAAGTAATGGGTAACAGTTGGAACCAGTTCACTAAAAGTAACTGCTAAATGTTGAGACAGCATTAGTTACCTAGAAGTAATGAATAAATGGTAGAAACAGTTATAAACAGTAGAAATAGTAATCATTAGCTAGAATAAATGGTTGAAACATTTAGCTAAAAGTAAACAGTCAAAACATCTGATGGGCTGTTAACACAGTAGCCATTTTTTTCTGAATGTTGTTATCAGGATAAATTAAATATTCTCTTGCTTCTGTGTAAAACTAAGATATCCCAACGAATTTCAACATTTTCCATAATTATTGGCAAAGATATATATTTATGGACTTCCTTTCCCGCACCAGTAGCAGCCGTGTTGCTTATTCACATTTAGACATCTGCAGTTCGCAAAGCATTCTGGGAATTTCCTTGTACCACTCTGTTTGGAGCGCCACCTGGAGGGCTGATGAGGGGGATGATTGGGCCTTGATGTCCATCATGTTTCTGATGTTTGAGTCGGACACTGGCTGCTCCTTCAGTCTGTTTATAAACATTATATTAAATCAATCAGGTTGTCATACGGCTTCATGTAATATGAGATGGGGTTAGCGGAGTTATCTTTTCCTGGATTTAACGGCTGCGTAACAGTAAAGTAATTTTCTGAAGTTACCAGACAGCTATTGGTCGTCACCCTCTGACTCATTAGATCCACATTACTGATGATTACTGATGAAAAATCTCATGTTAATATTTGTGAAAGCGCCAACAGTCAGCCTGCAACGCCATCCACATCGATATCGAGGTATTTGGTCAAAAATATTGTGATATTTGATTTTCACCACATCGGCCAGCCCTGCCCAAGAGAGGCTGTTTGTGATCAGACCTTCACAGATATAAACTCAACGTCTCCTGACGGACGACTGAAAGCTTTATTGATCAGCTGATCGGCTCACTAATGGAGTGAGTGTTAGGAAGAGAGGAGCCTCCATCATGGCTTCTTCCATTATTCATGTTAATGAGACTCAGTCGGGGTGAGCTGAGGACACCAACAACTCATCACTATTGATTACAGCTGCTTGTTTCATTAACTCGTCATCATGTAAATATTAAAATGTCAGAATTTACTCAAAGTGATTCTGTGAGTCTGAAACCAGCTCATGTTGGGAGTTTGTACTGGAACCAGTGACTGAGAACCAGTCGTCCATCAGTCAGCGGTTGGTTAACAGACTCACTGTGTCAGTGTCAGAGTAAAGACGTTAACGAGCAGCAGTAACTAATCAATCAATCAATTTTATTTATAATGCCCAATATCACAAATCACATTTTGCCTCACAGGGCTTTACAGCATACGACATCCCTCTGTCCTTATGACCCTCACAGCTGATCAGGAAAAACTCCCCAAAAAACCCTTTAACAGGGAAAAAACGGTAGAAACCTCAGGAAGAGCAACTGAGGAGGGATCCCTCTTCCAGGACGGACAGACGTGCAATAGATGTCGTACAGAACAGATCAGCATAATAAATTAACAGTAATCTGTATGACACAATGAGACAGAGAGAGAGAGAGAGAGAGACAGAGAGAGAGACAGACAGACAGACAGACAGACAGACAGACAGACAGACAGACAGAGAGAGAGAGACAGACAGACAGACAGACAGACAGACAGAGAGAGAGAGATGCAGGACAGACGGTAATGACAGTAGCTTACAACAACATTAATGAAAGTAATAATATTATAGTTAATCATAACATATTAATATCTGATAGTATACATGTGTGACAATAATCATATGTGTATAATAACTTTACAAACGACTGTAACAACACTCAGACTGTTAAACTGAACTCTGTCATTACATGTGATCCTGTTACGTTCTGGAAACGTTCCACTCACATTGATTATTTCTGAAAATATTCCCAGAAGACCTCGACAGACAGTGTGTACTTCCTGCCATGGCTGCATTAACACTAATGTGTTCTCCCAGGGTCTCTTAAAGAACCTCCACAGAACATCTGGCCAATGTTCTTTAGAGGTTTGGAAAGCCATTATATGTCAAACTACACACTGCAAACGTTCATGTAAGGTTAGGAAAACGTTCATGTGTTCCAAAATAAGGTTCTTGTACAGTTTCCTAACTTTAACCCCCTGGTTACAGCGTCCGTTTGTTCCCAAATGTCTTCGAACTCATTGACTTTAATCTCAGAACGGGGACGTGGTTTGGGGGATCCACAACAGAATGTTCTGTAGAGGACCTTTGGGACATTAAGAGAACATCTGATGCAGGTAAAACAAACAACACAAGAACCATTAGTGAACACTCTATGTAGAGAACATCCTTTGAAAGCTGGAACCTTGGGAACCTTTGAGAAACCTTCTGGGAATATTCTCTTAAATTTTAAGCAACATTCACAGAACGTTCAAGGAAACCACCGAGAACATTTGTTTTTCGTGATGTATGTACATTGTTCTTAAATGGCTTCCACATTAGGTGGAGGTTAAAGTAACCACACAGGAACCCTGAGGGAACATTACCTAAAATTGTTTATAGGACAATCAGTAGACAAGAAGGACAAGTTCAGTGTGGGAACATAAAGGGAACGTTATACAATTGTTGGGATTTTCTAAAATTTCAAATATTTTTGCAGAACATTCCTGAATTCAAATATTTCCCTAATGTGTCAGTGATGTCATGTGTGTCTTCGAGGACGTTCTACAGTGAAACCTTTGAGGAACGTTAAGGTAACCACACAGGAACACTGATGAACACTCCCCGAGCGTATTTATGTAACAATGAGAGAACGTTTGTTCCAAAGCTGAAACTAATAATCACTCTCATCACTGATGTTAATCTGTCGTCTGTTGTTTTGATTCATTGTTTGTTTGTTTGTTTGTTTGTTTGGTTGATTAAATGTCGGAGAATAATGAAAAATGTTCTTTAAATGTTCTATGAGCTGTTTCATTCGACTGACGACACAAAACCACAAATATAACGTGAAATGATATAAAGGTGTGCTCGTGCTGTTAATCAACACACAGGGCAGGGTTAGCATCAATCACTTATTAATCGACTGTCAAACGTGTTTCTGATTAAACTGATTTTAGAGCTTTCAAAATGAAAACTATGAGAACGTTACGAGGACGTTACGAGGACGTTTCTTCTCTTAACATTAGAAAACATTCCCACAACTAAACACTGTGGTCAGAAACACTGGGAGCAGAGTTGAGGAGATCAACAGTCCGGAGCTGCACCCTGGTTTTAGGGTGGGGGTGTCCGTAGATCTGCCCGGGCCCCTCCCGGGCTGCAGCCGGCCCTGCGTGACAACATCACGGCTGTGTGGAGCTCTACAGACCGTGGAGGATCCACCGAGCAGGAACGAGAGCGGACCTCAATGTTTGTGTTTGCAAAGAGTCACGTAACGTGAGGGAAACGTTCCCACAACCACAACACGTATCCTGGCGGGCTTGAGACGGAGGCCTGGCTCGTTCCGGTCCTCACCCCGACCACCACCGGCCTGCAGAGCCTCCCACAGCCGGCCACATCCCGCTCATTCTACCGCTAAAAATACACCGCAAATGTGCGTTGTGTATTGTCCTGAACACGAACACACACACACACACACACACACACACACACACACACACACACACACATACACACACACATCCTCCTCCTCCCGCGGCCACGCCTGTTTTTGCGTCCATGCATGGCGCACCGTTATTATCCTCCATCCTCCTGCCGAGCCTAATGGCTGCTGGCGGGGCGGGGGACGAGCAGCGGGCATGCGGGCTGAGGCGCACCGTGGAGCGGCTACAGAGAGCGGATGAGGCCGGGAGAGAGGAGCGGGCCTCCGGGGGGACTCTCTGCTCCAGACCGGAGCAGAAGAGTCCGATCACCCGGATCCAGCCGCGTCTCCTCCGACATGAAGTTTGTGGAGGATCGCAGCACAGCTCCAATCACAGCACAGCCACAAAAGAGACAGAGTAGAAGGCAGCAGAGACACAGAGGAGAAGCTTACCTGCTCCGGAGATCAAACTTCAGCTGAGGAAGAGCAGTCCGCAAACAGTCCGACAGGAGAGGACAGAGAGACGGACAGACAGACAGGAGGGAGGGAGCTGCTGCTGCTGCTGCTGCTGCTGCAGGGAATGACGGGAAAGAATCCGCACTGCCCCCCCCCCTCCTCCCCCCTCCTCCTCTTCTTCCTCCTCCTCTTCTTCTTCCTCCTCCTCTTCCTCCTCCTCTCTCTCCCTCCCCTCAGTCATCAGCTCGGGTCTAAATCAAACTCACATCCTGGTTTTTATCTTTTATTCTTTGAGTGTTTACTCCGAAATCTTTGAGGAGCCAATCACAGTGTAGCGCCTCCTGCAGGCTGTACACGTCACTGCAGCCACAACATGAACAAACATCCTGATCAGTGCTCACAGTGTGAGCAGTTTGTCCTGATGGGGGCGCTACAGAGACGATGTCCAGGGTTCATCCTCTGAGGAGCAGGAGCGTTAATTCATCATCATGATGAAGATGATTATTTATAATGATGACTCCTCGTGACGAGCATCCAGACCTTACACACTGACTGCTAACAACATTATACACTCTTTGACTGTTAGTAAACACAGTGACGTTTGTTGGTGGGCGGGGCTTAGCTGGAGGCAAAACAGTTAGCTAGCTCTAGCTAACAAGTTGTGTTGTCTTGTTTTAGACGATGGAGGAAGATGATGTGAGTGGTTCGTTCAGAAACACTCATTGTGAGTGTGGGAGCGCACTCTGACACAAACTGGAGCGTTGATAAATTGGGAGCGCTGTCTGAATGTAGCGTTGGGTTATCCAGAGCAGCGCACTCTCAGAGTGGCAGAGCGCACTCTGGACACTCTGTCTGTGGAGACGGAGCAGCAGAGCGCCGAGCGGAGTGAATGTGTGATTAACTTAATCGTTGGTTCATTCATGTAGAAATATAACGCTGCGTTTCTTCCACCAACAGGGCTCTCATTTTAGTGTAGAGCGTCAGACTGAATTTACCAACGCACCATGTCAGGTCACTCACTCTCCGGGACCGCCAGTGTTACTTGAATAAGTAAACACTGACCAACGGGACCAGACTGGCCGACCCGTATGCTCTCACTCAGTGGATGGATGATGTCACAGGAAGCCAATCTTACAAAGGAGGACCACACTTGTTTGTTTTGCTATGGAAGCTAACGTTAGCTAATGTGCTAAAAAGTTAGCGTTGCAGAGAAATCCAATCTTCCTCTTAATCCCTCCCCAGTTTCTGATGAGGTGGACATGATAACCCTTAATACACATAACCTTATTCATCCCTACAACAGGAAATACTTTTTCCCTAACCTGATATGAAGTGTGCGCTGCACATGTGAGCATTTTTGATGATGGCCTCCGTCCAGTCCTTTGGTCTTATCACATTTAACCATAGTTGTCTTTGTTTTTGTTGACGGGCAGTGGCGGCTGGTTTTGAGCCATGACTCCTTCTATTCTGGCTCCCAATAACACAACAAGACAAACACATTTTAACACTCCTTTGGAGCCTACAGCCCTGTGGGGGAGAGGCAGCTGCACCTCCAGCTGATCACATGATGTCACTGTGATGTCATCGTGACTCAGACACTAAAAGGGTCTTAATTTAATTTAAACTCATGCTGCCGACCGTCACCAAATGTAGAAACAACTTCCCTCTGTGTTTTCATCTTGTGACACTGACTCTCAGTGAATGTCACTTGCAGGGGCGGAGTTTTGATTTCATGTGTTGGGGGCGGGGCCACAGTCAGTACAGGTACACAGGTACCAGGTAGAACACAACAACATGTTTCCTCAAAATTTTGGGACGTTCCCTTCAATAAATGGAGGATCGTAGAGATCCCTTCAGTTTTTGGGGAAATCAAAGTGAAATAAATTTTGCTGACTGAATGTCGTCTGATAAAAAGTGTTCTAATGTGTGTGTTCTAGTAGCTGTGATAAACCACCAGTGTGAAAACAAAATCCAAAGTGCTGACGTTTTGGTTTGAAGGAATCAAACCGCATTTCAAACAACAGTAAACATCACACTGCATAATAATATAATGAAGTATTAATCAGGGGCGAGGAAAATCGATACAGCAAAGTATCACAATATTTTTGTGTGGCAGTTTCGTATCTTCACGCACAGTTATTAATATGACAAATTAAACTTTAGTCTGACGTGAGATGAACAGACCCAAAACTTTTAGTTTTTCCTTCAGGGACAAAATTTGCAGCTTAACAAAGGTAATAAATCACAACATATTTTATCACAATACTCAGCACAAAGCAACATATTTAAAATCACAATAATACTGTACGATGGATCCTTCGTTTAGACGTGGACAAATGGACCAGACAACGCTGCAAACACATTCTGTGGTTTCAACAACGCTCTAGTGTAGTTAGAGAACTTTAGAAAGTTGCATTTAAGAAGCTTAATGAAGAACGAGGGAACCACAGAAGAACCATTAGTGGCCGTTGTCTGAGGGTTTTTATGTAACGCTCTGTGGAGAACATCCTTCGAGACTTGCAACCATGAGAATGAACCCTCAACTTTAAAGCAACATTCACAGAACATTCCTGAAAACCACCGACAGTATTTGTTCTTTTTGTGATGCACAGTGTTCTTATGTGGTTCCTGGGATGTTCTTTTAACATTAGAAGAACACAGATTATTGGAACGTGGTTCATGGTTCCACTCATTAGCTGGAGGTTAAAGAAACCACATAGGAACACCAAGAGAACGTTACAGGAGTATTCGACCAAATATTGGGGACTAACAGTTTTCCATATGTGCTCACTCGAACTTTTTCATTTCCTTAAAAAACGTTCCTAGTGCAGTAAGAGAACATTAGAACGTTGCATACAAGCTGTCATGGATGTAAAAGGAACTACAGAAGAACCATTAGTGACCGTTCCCTGAGGGTTTTTATGTAAACTAAGGTAAGATAAGGTTCTCGTACAGTTTTCCTAGATTTATCTCTCTGGTTGTTACAGCGTCTGCTAGTTCCCAAATGTCTCACGGCTCGCTGAGTTCAATTTTAGAACGTGAACGTGGTTTAGGGGAACCACAAGAGAGCGTTCGTAGAGACTCTCAGTTACAACCACTGGAACTTTGAGGGAACATTACAGGAATGCTTTTTGTCTTAACTTTAGTAATTAACAAAGAACATTCCTGAAAACCAAATATTCCTCTAGGATGTTCTTCTGACATTAGCAGAACCACACAGGAACCCTGAGGGAACGTTCCTCGAAGGTGTTAATGAAACAATTAGAGGACAAGAACAAGTTCAGCTTGGAAACGTCAAGGGAACGTCACGATTGTTGGGATTCTCCAAACTTTGGATTATTTCTAGAACATTCCTGAAACCAAATATTGCTGTCTGGAAGTTTCTCATATTTGTTCTCAGGAAGGTTTTCCTAATGTATCACTGACGTTGTGTTTGTCTTTGAGGATGTTCTTCTAATATTATCAAAACGTTTGACAGTAGAACCTTTAAGGAACGTTCTCCAGAGGTTTTGTGAAGGTAGCCACACAGGTACACTGGTGAATGAAACATTGAGAGAACGTTGTTTGTGGCGCTGAAACTGAACGCTGAACTTTTCGTCGTCTGTTGTTTGTTCAGTTAAATGTCTGAGTGGAACCATCAGAGGACGTTTTGACGATAACAATGAAAAGGAACGGCTCCGATTCTATGGCATCGCATCAGTGGTGGTGAGAGCTGCCGAGGCTGATGGGTAGTGTAGTCTTTATGGCAGAGACCCAGCAGGTGGAAGCGTGGAGTGTTTGTGTCTGATGAGCAGGAGCTGAGTTCCTGAGCGGTCAATATGAGAACATGAGAACATGTTGTGTAAAGTGAGCCGTGCTGACGGTCAGCACTGAGCCCATTACGCTCTGATGGAGCACTTTAACCATGTCTGATGGAAAACACTAACGAGAGCTGTGATTGGATAAACACACTCAGAGTGCATCAGAGAACACCAGCCTCATACCTGAGTGCTGCTGTCGGGACTGTTCTCATATCCATTCATTATTTAGTCCACAAACGTCCTGAATACTTAAAGGGTCAGTACACCACATCAAACAACACACTGTCACACTCTGCTGTGATGAGTTCAGGTTAGAAGCCACAACGACACATTTCTCATTCCTGCTTTTATTAAACTTCGCAATAAATACAAAAAATAACTGAGGTGGATCACAGAGCGCCGGGAAAATAGAGTCAAAGTTTCCTCACAGAGAAAAGAACAGAGAGACGAGAGCAGCCGTCAGAAGTCCAACCACTCCGTCATGTAGATACAGTTGGACGGAGAGATTTCTCCTCCTTCGTGACAGTCGTCAAACACCTGAGGACAAAAGACAGGAAGTCAGCGCTCAGCTATGGAAACCCTTTCACACGGTCCTTTAGAACTCAACGCATGCAGACAGCTGTTGGATCACGGGTTCAGACTACACAACATGTTTGTCCAGTGGCGGTTCTAGCCTAAATGGCGCCCTGGGCGACACCCCCCTTGAAGGTCAAGTTCATTTTATTTACAGTTATTTCCTATTAAGCTCCAGATCTCAACAGAAGTATCAGGATCCGCTACTGTGTTTGTGTGTTCCTACAGGTGACTGTGGAGTCATAAACCTGTCTGTGACTTGGCCGACAGACATGACTGACTACATGTTGGTCCACCACCAATCATCACTTTGGTTGATGCGGTCTTCAAAGGCGGCGTGCTTTGAAGACCGCATCACTTGAACTGAGACACAGCTCATGACAGTCACTGAATCCTCCACAGGAAGTTCCTGTAAATGTTTCACAATAAAAGCCTCTTTACAAAAAGAAGGGATTCTCTCAGCTGAAATGATGAGGGGCTTTTAATTTGAAACAGAAACAGGAAGTTTTGAGTTTAAACTCTTTATATCCTCCATTATGAAGAAAGAACATTCTTTGCTAGCTTGATGCTAATGGCAGTACTCAGCGGGTTGATAAAGTGCCTCTGCTGTTTCCTTTTTACTCTGTGTGCTAACGTCCCCACAGGAAATATCTGAAAGGCTGGGCTGTTGTTGTCCTACAGTTTCCATGGCAACAGATCGCTCTGTGTTCCTATTGGTCAAAATGACGGCTGTGACGGGAGAAGAAAATCAAACATGCAAGCCTTTCTGTGGGGACGTCGTGAGGCGTCTCAGATGTGGCATCAGTTGTCGTTAATTATGACACACTACACAAGCAGGATGTGATAGCAAAAAAAAAAAAATCCTAAGCCTGAATTTTTTTCCAGGTTGAGGCACGAGGAATGGGTCATCATTCCCCCGTATTGACGTATTACAAAAGTGGACGGCGATAAAACGGCGAGAGCGAGGCGGCTGCAGTTTTTAGAGCCAGGCGCTGCAGTTGCTCTCCACCGACTGCACCGCCTGGCTCTCACCTGATCTAACAGCTGATTGGTTCAGATGTCGACCCAACAAGATGACGTTTAGATAAACTTTTTGTTGAATTTCAGAGATTTAAATTGTATTTGTCTGATCTGAAGGTTTATTCTGTGACAGAAACATGTTGTGTGACTGATGAAGGTGAAGTTCATAAACCACACAGAGTCTACTGTGTATTAACACTGTTTAACATCACAGACTGGTGGTCAGTGGGATGTGAGGACTCTAAACTAACATGTGTACAGATGTGAAGCCCTGACTGTATTTGACTGAGCCTTAATGAAAGCTGTTGTCTTGTATAAAATATGAAGCTTACAGTCTCTGTTGCCATGGCGACAGGTCAAACTGATATGATGCTGATTTACAGCAGAGTTCATGAACCATGAACATAAACTACAGATCACCTGTAAAGCATTTTAATAAATTAATCTATCATAATAAAAACAACTGGAGACTGAGAACAAACTGATATATGAGTCTGATCACTTTAATGAATTGACATCATTCCAGACAGGATGTGAGTGTGTCTGTGACTTCTTGTACGGACTGAAGGCTGCTGGAAACTGTCGGGAAACTGTCCGACTTCACCGCAGCTTTTTGTCAACCCCCCCCCCCCGCTGCAGCCGCCTGCTCTCGTCTACTGTCCAGGCGAGGCGCAGTTCATCTCCAACGAGCCTATTAACAAGACAACGCGGTCTGTCAGCGGTGACTGCGGCTCCTGGTAAACGCGTTACGTGTTTTATTGCACGCACAGCGGCTTTATGAGCGGGGTCTAATTCATGCTGTGATAGGACTGTCTTGCCGCTGGTTGCATACATCAATTTATGTGTCCGTCTGTGCCTCTTCTAGCCACGCCCAACGCCATTTAATTTTGAGTCCTTTATCGACTATCAGGACGTTTTCCCAGGTTTCATTAACTTACTTTGCATCTTGATGAGAGAGTCTACGGCACGGGCTCCACTACAATCTGAAGTTGGCTCTGAACCAAATCTGTTCCTGCCCCCAAGACCTGCCCCCGCTCTACTTCTGATTGGCTAGTAGCCTAACTTTGGTCTGGTTGAGAGCGAGAGGTCTCTGTTTAAACTGTCTGCGACACCGCACACATATATCCCACATCAACTTTTTTTTTCCCCCTGGCCACACGCCGGAAATCCGGCACGGTGCCGGATGCCCATCACCCCTGCATGAGATGAAACCATGGATTATGGTGGACAACACCCATTGTCGTTCACGATGTGAGCCGACACCGTATGATGCCATGTCAGGCTGTGGTCAGGCTGATATCGTGGAGTCTGTTACATTCAGGTTCTTCATCTGATTATTGACATTTGCAAAGGATGAAATGAGTGACGTCCCCGCGACGTCTCTTGACAGCAGAGAACACTGTGACAGCTTGGATGTTGGATTTGTTCTCGGTGAGCCTCCATCATTACTGAGTCTGAGTGTTTGTGAAGAGAACTGCCGACAACGTAAAAGCATCAAAGACCATTCAGACATAGGACGAATCCTCTCACTCGTCTGATTGGACAGCATCGGGCTCTGTGGCGGCACATCACTAACTCTATGAACAGTGGTGTAGATGTGTTACCGGGCAGAGTCCGCAGGGCGTCCTGACGAGGCCGGTGGGTTGGATGACAGCGTTGACACCACGGTAAAGTTTCATCTGTCCATCCACGCTACCCACAGTTCCCTCCTTGGCGGCGATGACAGTCATCTCCACCTTCCCGTCATAGATCAGCGTGTTCAGGATGGTCTCGATGTCGTCCATGGACAGATCCACCTGCAGTCAAACACCTGTCAGTTAACCTGAGAGTGACGGCAGTAGAGTCAAAAACCAGCTCTGACGTGACCTGAGTCACATTCACATACAAAGTAAAACATGCGGATCAGCAGGTCAGTGTCTGTGGTGTGTGAGGTCATAAAAGGGGGCGTGACTGTGACAGCATCACCTTGCTGATTCCCAGCTCACAGATGTACTTCCAGACTTCATGCGAGGTGGCGAAGGAGCTGTTCCTCTGAACCATGGGACTCTGTTTGCTGTCTCTCGCTGCTTCAGCCTGAACACACAACACAGTCATGTGACCAACAGAAACATCTGAACCATCAGCAGCTGACCATGTGACCCAACAGGACGTGTCGTCATGAGCAACAGAGCGAGTGAGCTTTGATAGCATTTCTAAAAAAAAAACGTTAGCTTAAGGTGAAATGGTTGTTGACTCTGCTGCAGGGCAGAGAAAACAGTGCGACAGTGGCAGCAGGATGACCCTTTTATGGTCGGAGTCACGATGACATCACAGTGACATCATGTGATCAGCTGGAGGTGCAGCTGCCTCTCCCCCACAGGGCTGTAGGCTACACAGGAGTGTTAAAATGTGTTTGTCTTGTTGTGTTATTGGGAGCCAGAATAGAAGGAGTCATGGCTCAAAACCAGCCGCCACTGCCCGTCAACAAAAACAAAGACAACTATGGTTAAATGTGATAAGACCAAAGGACTGGACGGAGGCCATCATCAAAAATGCTCACATGTGCAGCGCACACTTCATATCAGGTTAGGGAAAAAGTATTTCCTGTTGTAGGGATGAATAAGGTTATGTGTATTAAGGGTTATCATGTCCACCTCATCAGAAACTGGGGAGGGATTAAGAGGAAGATTGGATTTCTCTGCAACGCTAACTTTTTAGCACATTAGCTAACGTTAGCTTCCATAGCAAAACAAACAAGTGTGGTCCTCCTTTGTAAGATTGGCTTCCTGTGACATCATCCATCCACTGAGTGAGAGCATACGGGTCGGCCAGTCTGGTCCCGTTGGTCAGTGTTTACTTATTCAAGTAACACTGGCGGAACATGGTGTTGTACTGTAACCCTGCCACAGAGGAGAACCCTTTCCTTTGTCATAAGGCTCAGGTCTTGATCCTGTCACAGTTCAGTGAAACCACTTGTGTCATTTCTTGTCATTAATTGACATTAATAAATAACCTGTGAGATCATCAGCTGTTTAAATAAAGTTTGTAGTACCTTGCTCTGCAGGAACTTGAAGCACTGCTGGTTGAGAACTTCAACAAACTCAGACTCAAAGTCCTGGTCGCTGTACCAGGCGCCCCCCGTCACAGAGCGGTCCGGCTGCAGGTTGTACAGCATGTACACCTTCTTCTTAGACGCCTGCACACAACAAACATGGAGCTGTCAGAGAGGAAACCTTGTATGTCCACAGGCTCAGCTGATGATGGGCTCCGTTTTAAACTCACGGCAACAGATTTGACGGCTTTGATGAGTTTCTTGCTCTCCAGGTTCTTCAGGATCTTGTTGATCTCAGTCAGAGGAAGGTTACTCTTAAAGCGGATGTCTCTGCTCCAGATCCCTGCGGCACAGAACCAGATCAGACCAGCTGCTGAGTGTTTCACCAAGGCAGGTGTTCATGTTAAAGGGCAACTTCAGTATTCTTACACCTGGACTCTACTGGCTCATGTCTTTGTGTGTGTGTGTGTGTGTGTGTCTGTGTGTCTGTGTCTGTGTGTCTGTGTGTGTGTCTGTGTGTCAGATTCCACTGCTGGCCTCACTAAACTCAAGACCAGCCACTGTTGTCCATTGTCTCTACACATGTGTCGTCAGTCACAGGGAAACACTGGAGAGGGGCTTATTCACGCCGTAGAAACAGCAGATGTTGCAGGTAACTTCCTGTGTGGAGCTTCAGGTGTTGTGCTGTAGTTTGTTACCTTTGTTTCCTGCGTCCTCGATGATCTGATAAACCAGTTTCTCCTGGTTGTCTGAACCTTTCATCTTACTGCAACACAACCAGAAGAGGAAGAAGAGAGCAGGAGGCTGACGGGAGCTCTTCAGGTTCAAAGACACAGACATGTTACACTCACAGGTGTGTCAGGTGTGTTTACCTGGCGCTCTGCCCGTCCTTCAGTCTGTACAGGAGACCTGAGCTGTTCCTCAGCAGGTCCAGCTGACCCTGGAACAGGTCAACACATCAATCAATAATCACGCCGATCAGAAACACAGCGCCGTGCGGCCAATCAGGAGAGAGGAATGAGCGGCGCTGCAGTGCTCAGACTGACCAGTGACAGCAGCTTGTTGATGGCCATGGCTCTCTGCTGAGGCTCCAGGTGAGGCATGTCGTTCTGAATCACCTGGTCTGTGATACCGTGAGGGAACTGCTGACACAGCTGTTTGATCCTGTAACGACGAATTGATTAACTGATTGATTGAAAAGGAAAAATATCTAAATCCTCGTTCCAGCTTGTAAAACACAAATGTTTCCTGGTTTCTCTGAAAATAAACTGAATCTGTGTGTTTGTGGTCAAATCAAACATCTGAGGACACTTTGACATGTTATTGACCAAACAATCAATCGATTCATCAGGACAATAACCAACACATCAGGGCTGTAACAGTGAGGTTACTATCATCAGCTGTAATGACCCTCAGAGGTCCGGAAACAGAACGGCTTCCTGGTTAAACAAAGACTTCATTACACCTGAAACATGAACACAAAACTAAATGTGTTCCTGAGCAGAGGGAGGATTTATGGAGTCAAGTTCAATCCATTGTTGTCCAACAGGTAGAAAATATAAAAGACAGTTTAAAGATGTGTCACATCACGCAGGAGAGTTCCACTCATTACAGACAAATAAAAAGAGACTAAATGTGTGTGTGGTAATAAAACCCTCACACATTCAAACTGAAAACTAGTTTATGACTTTTAATGCCGACATGTTTATAAAAACTGAATTCAAGGCAAATCAGAATCTTTTAAGAACCTGCATTTTTATACTTCAGTACTTTCTGCTGTACCCAGCTCACCTTTCAGCCACACTCAGTTTAAAGCGATCACCACTGTTCACTCGCGTGTTGGCGACATTTAACCAGTTATTAAACTGGACTGAATCTACACGAACAATACTTTAATTCGGCAACACATTCAAACCACCAAACAGAGCGGTTAGCAGCGAGCCCACCACACTCCTCTGTTTAAAATGTTCAGATTTTAGTGACGGGAGGACCTGGGCGTGCTGTCGCAATGCCGAATTCACAACACATTCACTACAATTCGGACAATGTATTAATTCACCTCACACAGCCGCTGCATTCACGGAGACAAGCGAGTAAACACTAAATTCGTCAGAATTTGTACGGAGTTCGGCGCACGGGTCTCCGGTGAGCGGCACCACCGGCTCAGCGGTAAAGCGGGTTCCCGCCGCCGGACTGACCTGTTCTCCACCTCCGCGGGGTCTGACAGGTTCGCCTCCTTCTTCACTTTGACTTCTGCCATCTTTAAAGCTCTTGTGTTTGTTTTCTGACTGTTAGGTAGCCTGTTAGCCTGTTAGCCTGTTAGCATGTGAGCTAATGTTGTGTCAGACAGGCATGCTACGTCAGGGTCCTCAAGAGTCAGCTGTCCGCGGGAGCGTCCTGAAAACTGCCTGTTCAAAACTCATGGTGCGGTAGAAATAAATCAATACACAAAAGATTTAACGTTCAGTGTCCTCAGTGTTTGTACATCACAATCAGAATCAGTTTATCACCACACACACACACACACACACACACACACACACACACACACACACAT